GATGATGATCATGATCATGATCATGATGATTATTATGATGCTGATGTTGATGATGATGATAACCCCGCTGATGGTGCTGCTGATGATGAGGATATTCACGAGTATGATGCGCATGTTCAATGTTGATGCTGATGAGGATGACGATTATTCTATGGATGATGATTATGACGATTCTAACGTTGCTGATGATGCTTGTGTTTGTTGTGAGGTTCGGTTGATGGGAGATGGTTATGGAGATGGTGGTGATGGTGATCATGATGGTTTTTCCATGGTGGCGATGACGACGATCACGATGCCGACTGTCAATGCGATGATGAATCTGGTGATGGCACGGGTGACATTGGAAGCGATGATGGTAGTGATGATGATGATGATGATGATGATGATGACGATGATTCTGATTCAGATTGTGATCTTTGTGGTGATGATGCTGACCATTATGATGGCGATGATGATGATGATGATGATGATGATGATGATGATGATGATGGTGATGACGATGATTATGATTATAACTTTGATCGTGGTGGTGATGATGTTGAGAATGGTGAAGATGAATATGACGATTATGATGATGATGATGATCATCATCATCATCATCAGCATTTTCATCATCATAATCACCGTCATCATCATGACCGGCCGCCGCCACTGGGGAGGATCACCCGGTCGAGAAGGTCATCCTCCTTCTGAAAGATTTGAGCGCCCAAGTTCTCAAGCAGTCGCAGGAGCGGCGGCGGCCAGGGGGGGTGGAGAGCCCGTGTGCGCGACGATCTGCGTTGTGCGCACGTCCTCATTTGAGCTAACAAGCACAATGACCATGCCCACGATGTCGCGGGATCTTGTCGACGCCGATCTTGGTCATGGTCCATGTTTGCCGTCGCCGATCTGCAAGGACGGTCCACGAATCGACGATGCATGCGATGGGCGATTGCCAAGATCGACACGCATATTCCTGTGCTCAGCCGTGGTCATTGTTCTCGTGTTCGTTCCTGCCGAATGCAAGTCGGCACACTTTCGGAGGTCCGCGCGGGCTTCTCGGGGCTGGCGCTGTGTAAGCTGTGTGATTTAATTTCCGTTTCATGATACATGCGGTGTAAGTTGTGCGGCGTGAACTACGATGTGTAAGTTATGTTGCCCACCCGTGGGGCGTGCGGCTAAACCAGGCCAAGCTGGGCCAAACCAGGTCAAACCAGAGGCCGCACCAGGAAGATTTTGAGGACGTGCCAGGCAGAATCGCCCAAACCAGGCTCCATCCACTCTCTTTAGAAAGGTTTTAATCAAAGGAGTGGATCACCCCAGGGCCCCCCCCCGCAGGCGGAAACGCGTTAGAATTTCACAGAGGGTCCGTTTGGACCGCGCGCCCGCTGATGCGGACGAGGTTGTGCGCAGAAGCCGTCATTTATCTTTCGGGTGTTATTGGAACCTTGGTGTGGCGTTCGGGGAAACACTTCCGAGCCTGTAGCGGGAGTGACTGATCATGTTAAAGTGGGGCCGATATATTGGGATATCCCCCTCACCTGATCACCCGAAAGGGTAGCCTTGCAGGTGCGTGCATCTGTATGTAGAGATGTCTGTCGAAGGGTGGCCATAGTGTTGTCGACTCAGTTGTACCAGAGTGCACAGGCGATACAGGACCATGGTGCCATGGATCATAGGTCCCTAGCCGTGCCGCGGCGTGCCATTCGCGATCCTGTATGCCCCACATGACGTTCATGGTTCCTTTTTCGCAAGAGTGCGGCGTGGCGGGATCGTGGAGGGCAGGGGAGGGGCTGCTACTCCACGGCAGGGTGAAACCAGGAGGGGAGCGGATAGAGGATGGGAGGGGGGGATGATTTGTCCCACCCCGGCTAGGCGCGGGAAGGGGCGGGGAGGGGGTGAGGAGAGCGCGATTGCTCACGTCCCGACCGTGCGCGACAGATCCGAACTAAGGGTTTCTCGGATAGTGGCGGTTACAGGCTTCATCGGGCGCGCACAGTAATAGTGGTCGTGGCGATCATGATAGGGAGGATGAGGCGAAGGAGAACAGGAAGGAGGAGTGGTATGGTGTGAAGGAGAGGGATCCGTCGGCCCCATCTCCCATTTCGCACAGGCCATTGTTAGATTACGTGAGTAGCCTGACGGCATGCGACCGTGTTCCATGGCGCAGCTCGGTTTTTCCAGGAGAGCGCCGAGGGGTAAGGGGACAAGGTGTGATAGGATGGGGTGTGATTCATGATGATTGATGATGGTGTAGATTATGGCGGTGGTGAAGGTGGTTATGCTTGCGATGACGATGCTGCTGGCGACGGAGTTGCTGATACAGATACTGGCGTGGACACGTGAACATAGATGACGGCGCGGATGATCACGATTATGAGGGCAACTATGGTAATAGAGGGTCGGTGATCATGATGACGATAATGGTAATGGCTATGGTGGTGATCGTGATGATGGTGGGGATGATCATGTTGTTGATGCTGATGATGCTGATGAGGATGAGGATGGGGATGCTGATGCTGATGCTGAGGATGATGATGATGTTGTTGATGCTGATGTTGATTATGCTGCTGCTGCTGCTGATGATGATGATGATGATGATGATGGTGATGATACTGATGCTGATGCTGATGATGATGATGCTGATGATGATATGGATGATGATGATGTTGCTGATGCTGCTGCTGATGATGATGATGCTGATGCTGATGCTGATGCTGATGCTGATGATGATGATGGTGATGGTGGTGGTGATTATGATGATGATGATGATGATGATGATGATGATGAGGATGAGGATGATGATGATGATGCTGATGCTGATGCTGATGCTGATGATGATGATGATGATGATGATGATGATGATGATGATGATGATGAACGCATGCTTGTATTGATGATGAAGATGTATGTCTAGGAGAAATGGGGAGCAGGATGATGATGCGGGAATGATAAATCGAGCCGTCCGCGAGGAGGAGGAGTACCTGTATGGGAAGTTCGACAAGTGGTGCAAGGACACCGACAGGACACTGTCTAAGGAGTGGGGCCCCTCCGCCGCACGGCGCCCGAGCCCCGGGCGCCTCGGAAGTTGTCGCAGGGTTTCCTCGTCCTTCTTTCCCTCCCCCTCCTCCTGCATCTCTCCCCTCCCTCCTCATCTCTCCCTCCTCCTCCTCATCTCTCCCTCTCCTCCTCCTTCTCCTCGTCCTCCACCTCCCCCCTCCCCCTCCTCCTCCTCATCCTCCTCTTCTTCCTCCTTCTCTTCCTCCTCTTCCTCCTCCTTCTCTTCCTCCTCTTCCTCCTCCGCCTCCTCCTCCTCTCTCAACCCTGTCTCACTTCTCTGTCTCACTCCTCACTCCTCTTCTCTCGGCTACCCTCCTCGTCGCCTCGTCCTTAAGACAGAGGTCAAAGCAAAGGGGGGTCAGCCAGGGCGCCGGATCTTTCAGGATCCTGTAGAGGCAGGGGTGCATTGACCCGATTCAGCGCGCAGGATCTTGCAGGATCCTGTGGGGCTCTTCAAGATTCCTGCAGGATCCTGCAGAACCTGACTGACCAGGGTTTGCATTGACTCTGGTCAGTGCGTCCCCGGGTCAATGCGTCCCGGAAGATGAGAGGGGACGAGCAGGAGGAGGCTCGTGGGTCCCCGTTTCCGCCGCGGGGGGAGCCCCCCTATGAGAGACGAGCGGCCCACGGGTCTGCCACTCGGGCGGGCCTGCTCGTTTTGAAGTGGACTGCCCCCCCACCACTGTCGGGGGCGAAAAAGAGGGGGGTGATGACTAGGGGGGGGTGGATATCATGGCGTGGGCCATGATATTTCCCTAGATGTCATGGCGCCTCTTCTTATTTCATTACGTCCCTGGCCCCCCCGTTGGGCCGCGCACATGCCGCCGGTCATGATTTGCACCCCCCCCTCGTGGACACCCCCCTCTTGGCCGCTCCCGACACTGTAACTCGAGAAAGCTCCTCATTTTGAGATGCATCTGCCCTCTGCGCGTGTATCTGCTGCACCTAGTCGAACGACGGGTCGTAGCATTCGAGCAGCTCTCACACCGAGAGCCCAGCTCTGAGGAGGAGCCGCCATCAACTGTGACCACTGCGCATAAAAACCTCGGGCCATAAACGGGTCAAAGTCTGAAGCGAGAGCCATGTTTTGAAAAAGGATGGGGTTCTCCATCGGGGTAGCTCTTCAGCACATTCAATACGACTGGACGAGGACGGAGAAGGAGGACATGAGGAATATGGGTTTCCCTCCCTCTTCTTGCTTATCCTCCTGCGTCTCCTCCTGCCCCTCCCACCCGTGCGGAGGTCTCCTCGCCTCGTCGTCGCCGTCCTCCTTTGCCCTCGTCTTCGCCGTCCTCCTCCCACCTGCTCCTTTCACCTTTCAATGCTTCGCTCCTCCCTCCTCCTCCTCCTCCTCCCTCCTCCTCCTCCTCCTCCTCCTCCTCCTCCTCCTCCTTTCCCTCCTCCCCCTCCTCCTCCTCCTTCCTCCTCCTCCTCCTCCTCCTCCTCCTCCTCCTCCTCCTCCTCCTCCTCCTCTCCTCCTCCGCCTCCGCCTCCTCCTCCCCCTCCTCCTCGCTCCTCGTCCTCCTCCTCCTCCTACTCCTGCTCCTCTGTCCCTGCCCAATCACTCAATATGAACACTGTAGGTTCGCGTCGTGCCGACCGGCGGCGACTACGCCGCTGGCGTTCAACAGTTAAACGCTGCCGGCGACCCAGAATCGGTTGATGTTGAACGATCTGACGTTTCGGAAACGGCCGATTGTTTCAGGGTGAGGGATTCCCGCGGTGTCAGGAACCAACGCCGGGGTCGTCACGGCACGAACCCGCGGTACTATTCTCCTCTCTCTCCCGCCTGAGAGTCGCGCTCCCACCTCCGCGCACTGTCGCTTACACAGGATTGGTCCGAGATGGTTTTCTGATGTGTCTTTCAAACAGAATATTCCTGGTCCTTGCAGCGTTTCCGCTGCAGCGTTGGCCTCGTTTTGAGGTCGGGGCGTTGCTCCCGTCGTTCAGACTGGCGCTCTCGCCCCAGCACGGGCCACTTTGATCCGAGTCCTTCCTCACCGTTGTCGTCTCCCGTGTTTTGCCCTCCTCTGCCTTCGCCTGGTCCTCCTGCTCCTCCCGATCCTTCCACTCCAGTTCTTGCTGCTGATGCTCGTCCTCGTCCTCCTCCCTCTTCTTCCTGCTCTTTCGCCACCTCTTCCTCCTGTGTATGTAGCTCGTTTTTTTCGATTGCCCATACCAAGGCAGGGTATTTTCTGTAGTTCCAGGTCCGCTATGGCATGCGTCCGCGTACAGGGAAAAATCAGCGCAATGAGAGGGGATCAGTGGGAGGGGGTGGATGTCAGATATTGCGCCAGCGCACCTGGCTTAGCTCCTTCTCCTGTCCATTCCACCTTCTCCCTCCCCTCTCCATCCCTCGCCGGGTCTTCCTCTTCCCCCCATCCCACGCCCCTCGCTTGGTCTTCCTCGCCTAGTCGATGTCGTCGCCGTCGTCATCCTCCTCCTGCTCCTTTGGCTCCGTCGTCGCCGTCGTTTCTCCTTCTACCTGGTCCTTCCCCGCCCCGCTCCTGCCCCTGTGGCACACGCCCCTCCTCCTGCTCCTCATCCGCCTCGCTGTCCCCCTATGCTCCTCCCACCTCCCCCTCTGCGGGAGCCAGCATCCCCCTCCGCTCCTGGCTCTGGACCTCGGTTCTCACCCGAGGATGAATGTGGAGGTGATGACGTGGATGTCAAAAAAAAATCACCTCCCCCTCTGCCCACCCCCTCCTCCCTCCTCCCTCCTCCCTCCCCCTTCCCCCGCCCGGCCCTCCTCCGCCCCGCCCTCTCCCCCCCTCTCGCCCCCGCCTCGCCCTCCGCCGTGTGCAGGGACTGCGGGGCGAGAGTGCGGTCTCCCCTGCCCCGCTTCCGCGCCTCCGCCTCTTGGCCCCTCTCAGGAGGGAGAAAAACGCACAGACACAATGAATCGTCGGTTCCCTCCTCCCTCCTCCCCTGTCCCGCTTCCGCACCCCCTCCTCCCTCCTCCCTCCTCCCTCCCCCTTCCCCCGCCCGGCCCTCTTCAATCCCCGCCCTCTCCCCCCCCTCGCCCCAGCCTCGTCCTCCGCCGTGTGCAGGACTCTGCGGCGAGAGTGCGGTCTCCCCTGCCCCGCTTCCGCGCCTCCGCCTCTGGCTCCTCTCAGGAGGGAGAAAAACACACAGACACAATTACCCCTCGGTCGTTGAAAGAAGGTATTTTTGGATTCCCAGATTCCAATCTACTCTCAGCGCCTTCCTACTTCAAGAGTCGAGTGGTTTTCCCACTTCCTTCCTCTTCAGGAGGCGGGGTGGGAACCCGATCTATTTCCAGCGCCTTCCTACTTCATGTTTCTACCCACTTCTTCCGACCGATGGGTAATCGCCGATTCCCTAGAAAATATGGGAAAATACGGAAAGCGGGGGGGAAGACAGGCCTCCAGAAAGTATGTGCAAAGATCGGGAATCCTGTTGTTTGTGTCCATTTCTTTGTGTGTCCCAGGGCCCCTTCATCCTCTCCTCTCCGGAGCGCGTGGCGACCAACGACGGGCACCCCGACGGGGGCAGGACGGGGCCCGTGCCTCGCGCAGCGCAGCGTGCGGCACGTCCCTCGGAGGCCGCGGCCTCCTCCTCCGCCCGGCCTCGGAGCCAGTGCCCGGGCGCTGGTCCGCGCCGCTCTGAGGTCGCTGCCTCGCTCGCTCCTCTCCCCATCCGCCCCCAGTGCTGGACCGGAACGGTGCTTCTGATGATTTCGTGTGCCGTTTTCGTGTCGACCTCGTTGTGGAGGAAAGGATGATTGGAGACAGAAGCGAGGGACAACAGGAAACGTTTCGGTTCAGCCCGGATCCACCCCTGTTACTTGGTCGCGACCGAGCATGCCACACAATGGGCTTTGGCCATTGGCGCGCTGGCTGCACCTATGCCCTCACTGGCCCCCTCGCCCTCCCGCAGGCGATCTCCGCCGGGAGGGAGAAGATCGACTCGCTGAAGGACAAGGCTCCCGCCGCCTGCAGGACGGGCGCAGAAATATCGGGGGTGGACAGAACCCCCACCCTGACACGTCGATTCGTGAATTGGCCGTTTTCGGTTCTCGATCGGGCGCCGCGGCCGTCATCTTCCAGGCTTGCGCCCGCCAGGCTCGGGCCCGAGGTCGTTTTCACTGAACCGCGTTTTGCTAAAGGGGGTTCTAGAGAGAGAGGGAGGGAGAGAGGGAGAGAGAGAGAGCTAGAGAGGGAGAGAGAGAGAGAGAGGGAGAGAGCCTCCTGGGCTCAGGAAGGGGCCTCCAGCTGGAGCCCGCAGCGCTCAGGGGTCTGCTCGCCTCGGGGCCCCCGGCCTCGGGGCCTCGTCTCCGACGAGGCCGAGGACGAAGAGAGAGAGCTCGAGAGAGAGGGAGAGAGAGCTAGGGAGAGGGAGAGGGAGAGAGAGAGAGAGAGCTAGGGAGCGAGAGAGAGAGAGAGAGAGCTAGATAAAGAGAGAGAGAGAGAGCTAGAGAGAGAGAGAGAGAGAGAGAGCTAGAGAGAGAGAGAGAGAGAGAGCTATAGAGAGAAAGAGAGAGAGAGAGAGAGCCAGAGAGAGAGAGGGAGGGAGAGGGAGAAGGGCCCACCTTCGTGCCCTACTACGGCTGGGCTCGCCGCCGTGCCGACGCGGCGGCCCCCTGCGCCCGGCGCTCCGGGTGCCACGCCGCCCGTGGCCCGGAGCCGGCCGAGAGGTCCAGCGCTTCGCGCTGCCGGGACACCGCGGTCGTCCGCAGGGTCGGTCGGAGGTGGGTAGACCTCCTGCCCCGACGCGTCGATGGAGGAATTGGCCGCGCTCGGTTCGCGATGGGGGCGTCGCGGCCGTCGTGTCTGCGGGTCCAGGTCCGTCGGCTGCGGTCCCAGGCCGTTGTCCCTCAGGGGGAGGTCTGCCAAAGAGGGAGGTCTGTCCACCGCCGCGTCGGGCGGCCCGCGCGGGGTCACACCGCACCGCGCTGGCGTCGCCACCGCACGAGCTGCCGTGCCCGGGGCCCGGCACGAAGCGCCTGTCGGCGGGCGCGCCCGCCCTGAGGCGAGAGGACACCGCCAAGCCCGTTCCGCTACAGTCGAGGTCGATTAGTAGGTCGACCCTGCCAGTCAAGGGTACCCTTGTGCCCTGTGTGTCGCGACCCGTGCCTCCTACATTCCCATGGCAATGTGTCTAGGCCTCCCAGATGGGGTCGGAGTAGATGGGGTCGGAGGCTCGCACCGCATCGCCGATGCATCGCCGATGCATCGGCGATGCATCGGCGATGCGGCTCGATGTGGAGACTGTGTTTCCCCACGCCGACGTCGCCGATGCATCGCCGATGCATTGCCGATGCGTCGCCGATGCATTGGCGATGCGGTGCGATCCTTCGACCCCATCTACTCGGACCCCATCTAGGAGGCCTCTAATGTGGCCCTCGGAAGGGTCTTGCGTCCTATCGCGTGTCCTATCCAGTCAATCCCGACTGTACTCGCAAAGTGCCTAACGTCGCAAATGTCAGAAAAAGCATAGCATTGTTTCTCAGTTGCCTCGATACGCCCGTTTTGAAGCGCAACACGTCCCGTGTTCAAGGCGTCCGTGCCAATATGTTGCGTGTTGACTCCACGTGTTGGACCACGTTTTGGCGCACGTATCGCGTCGGACCCACGTTTTCAGCCTGCGTGTCGAGCTCCGTATCCATACGCTACGTGTTGCGTGTTGCGTATCGGGGCAGCTATGTACTGTTTGCTTCGCTGAGACTTATCGTAGATCCCCCGCAGCGGCGGGGGATCTACGATATACTAAGAGGATATCTAGTAATATGTGTGGCTTCGGCGGCGAGCACAGACCAGAGGATATGTTAACGCGTGTGGCTTCGGCGACTTCCCGATTCCGATTGCACGAATAAGGAGGGGACAAAAACACAGAGACACAATTCATCGTCGAAGTGGGGGGGGGAAGACCAAAATCCAGAAAATGAATCAAAATATAGGGAATCCTTGGATTTGTGTATATTTCTTAGTGTGTCCCAGGGCCCCTTCAACGAAGGGAGCGCCAGGCTGGAGTGTTCTGGGCGCTCCGGCCCCACCCTGCAGCACCAGCGCGATGCATGACGCAGGCCGTGTCCGTGTGCCCGTGCCCATCCCCGCAGCGGATCCAGACCATCTGGGAGCAGTTTCTGTGCGAGTCGGGGAGCGCGCTCGTCCAGAGGAGGAGGGCCCCGTGACCCCCCCCGCCACCCCGGGGGCGTCGACGGGGCGAGCGCCCGACGACCGCGAGTCGTCCGCGGCGTTCTGAGCGCGAGGGTCTCCTCGCCTTGGGCCAAGCGACCAATGTGTTGGGTGAGGGCACTGGTCCGAGCGGCGGCGGGCCCGTGGGATGGCGCCTCCCGCGGCTCCTGGCGGCGGGGGCGCACACCTCGCCCTCGCCCTCTGGGCGCAGGCGGGGCCTCCGCAGGCTCCGCCGCCGCGCCCGCCCGCGCCGCGGAGGCCCCCCTCCGCGTCGAGGCCGAGCTTTTGCTGGGCCTGCTGTCCACCACCGCCACCACCAGAAGTTGGAGGGGGAGGGGGTCCTCCTCCTCCGCCTCCTCCTCCTCCTCCTCCGCCTCCTCCTCCTCGGTACGCTGCGCTCCTCCTCCACCTCCTCCTCCTCCTCCTCGTCCTCCCCCTTCCCCCCTCCAACTTATGGTGGTGGTGTTGAAAAACAGGCCCGTGAGAGCTGCCTGCACCCGCCGCCACGGGCTCGGCCACGCGCACTGGGGGCGCCGAGAGGCCAGGGTTGTGAGCGCGGTGGCCCCGCGGTGCCTGATGGCGCTGCTGCTGCTGCTGCTGCTGCGCCGCGGGCTCCCGGCAGGCTGTGCTGCGCGGCGGCCTTGCGAGGTGGGAGGGTCGACCCACAAGGGGGTCCAGGGACAGGGTGGTGGTGCAATATTTGGTGCAACGGAGTTGTGGGGTTGCAGTACTTTTGGGGCGTGCACTACCCTCCGGGGCGCAGATGTAGATTGCTGGGCTGTCGCGTGCGGTACACTAGCTGCAAATTAAATGCAACACAATTCTCCGGCGCAGTGCACTTGCAATACAATTGCCCCAAATATACCACCCCCTTGCAGCTGGACGCCCTTCCGGGTCGCCCAGAGGTGGGCGGTAGTGGTGGTCATTGCACAAAGGAAAACGAGTCTCGAGCAGAGCAGCACTCGGGACGATCGAAGTGGGTACGGAAAGAATGGGTGCTAAGACCGGCAGCAGTTCTTGTTCATTTGGGACATGACTTGCTGTCGGTGCCACCGCGGTCTGTGTCCATGTGAGACAAAAGGCCGCCTGCCCAACAGCGGCCGCTGTACTGGTTTTGAACAACATTTGTTGCTGGGCACTGTGCCCAGATTCTCCGTACCCATTTCGGGCGTCCAAAAACACCCACCACGACCACGACGCCGACGACGCAGGCGGAGGCGAGGCGCGCAGACGATCCGCACCGAAGCACGGTTTTGGGAAAGGGCCCGCCCAGCAGGTTCGGTCCATCACACAGGGAGGGAGAGAGCGAGAGGCAGGCAGCCAGCGGCGAACGCGCAGGCGGGAGGCCGGGGCTGGCTGGACGAAGCTGGCGGGCGGGCGGGCGGGAAGGGACGGAGGGGAGGCGGCACGCGGGCGTGCGGATCCTCACGGCCGGGCCCGCCAGGGCTCCAGGGCCTCGTGGTCCCCTCCTGCGCCTTGCCGCGCAGCCTCCGGGCCCCCCCTTCGAATTCGTCCGTCCGGGCGCCTGCCTCGGGCCACGATGCGCGGACCCTCCTCGTCCTCTGGCTCCCCTCCGCGGCGCTCCCGAGCCGAGCGGAGAGTCGTGTGCGGTCGGCAGGTCGTCGCTGCAACAGCACGGGTGCCCTCGGACGGAGTCGGGCAGGTCCTTTCTACAGGAGGCGTGTTCAAGAACGGTCAAAACATGGCCCGGGGACGATGTTTGGTTTTTGCTAGGTCTGCTCGGCTTTGGATATGTTTTGGCTCTTCTGCATTTTTCTTCAAAAATCCGCCCGTAGGGGGACGTGCCCGACCTGGCCCTCGCGTGCCGTGTCGCTCTTCGTGTCGCCCCCGCGCCTGGGGCACAGGCTGGGCTCTCGGGCAGTCGGCCCCGGCGGTAATCGCCCGCTTCTTGGTCGGGTGCTGGTCAGGAGAGGAAACAGCACGCAGGCACAGCTCATCGCCGACTCCCCAGAAGGTACGGGAGAATATGGGAAGTGAGCGGATGACAAGAACACAGGGGATGACAAGAACACAGGAAATATGCGAAAACATGGGCGCCTCCCGGCGCCGGGGGGGCGCCGGGAACATCAGCCGCGCGTGAGCGGATTCTCAACCCCCCCTCTTTGCTATCCCCCCCCCGTTCGCCCGGCCCGGGTGTGGGAGGTGCCGTGCCCTGGCGGTCCCAGCCACGTGGGCGGGCGGCGGAGCGGGAGGCCCACCGGCCTGGGGCGGCCTGCGGCGGTCCTCGGATGGTCTTCGGCGGTCTCCTTTGACGGACGCCCCTCGGGGAGACCCAGGAGGGAGAGAAACACACAGCCACAAGTAAGCGTCGACTCCCAGGAAAACGAGTTGGGGGTGAATACGAGGCGGGGGGGGAGGCGAAAACCTGGGAAATATGGGAAAAGATTGGGACTCTTGTTATTTGTGTCTATTTATTTGTGTGTCCCAGGGCCCCTTCAGAGACGCAAGACTCGGGTACGGGGGACTCGGGTTGGCCTGACGGGGCCATCATACAAATGACGGGGACCCAATCTGAAATTTGACGCGAACTCCCGTTGCAAACATCCACGAAAACCGGACCGTCAAATCCAGGACGCGCTCGTCAAAAAACGCTGGGAAGCCCGAGTTCTGGCTTACTCGAGTCTCACGTTTTTCCGATCCACGGTCTTCGGGGATGGACAGAACCCCTTGTAGCAAAACGTGGTTTAGTGAAAACGATCTTGGAGCCGAACCTGGCGGGCGCAAGCCTGGAAAATGACGGCCGCGGCGCCCTCTCGAGAACCGGAAACGGACAATTCACGAATCGACGTGTCAGGGTGGGAGTTCTTTCCGCCCGAATGGTTTTCCAAAACGTCCTTCTGGTTTGCCCTCATGGTTTTCCTCATGCTGAGCAAATAACCTCGTCGGATGTCTGGCGAGAGGGTCGAGGGGCAAGGAGGGAGCGTATGGGAGATTGTCGGCGCGTCGCGCCCTCCCAAGCCCGCGGGATGCTTCTCGTCGCCACGGCTGATTCCTGCGAAACTCTATTCTCCGACCAGAAAGTACCCGAAGAGTGGTCCGGGCACCGATTCGATCTTCGAGAACGGGGAACTGTCGGGGGGGAGGTGCGGGGGCCTCCACTTGGCACGCAAGACTCCACATGCCAGCTACGTGCCTAGATCATGCAGGACATGTCGCGTGCTTCCATGCTGATCCCTTGGCGATTGCCTGCCCAATTTTACGAAAGCCGTGCTTGCACTCAGGGGTTCACTGATTTTCCTTGCGTCAAGATCGGATTGGTTACTCCAGATTTCGTAATAAAGGGACGGGGGTCTCATTTCGGGGGGGGTCTCTTCCAGGCTATCCTGGAGGGCCTGGGGGGTCTGGGGACGATGTTTTGGAGGGTTCTCCCACGGGGGAGGTCTGAAATGGCTTGTCTTGGAGGGTCCAGACCCCCTCTCTTTTATTACGAAATCTGGAGTAACTTACGTCACATGTGTTGCGCTTGCATATCCCAAGTGTTACACACTACTGCTTGGGGTCCACGCTGCCAAACACCTGCTCGGGAAACTATGTGGGTGGACCTGGCGGAGGGATGGGGGCGGTGGCGGCGGTGGTGGTGTCTCAGTTGTTTCATCCTCCTCACCATATTTTGACCACTCCGATGGCATGAGGGCGGGGGTTCTTCAGACGGGATGCGCGAGCAGGTAAGCTCTTTGGAGAAGGAAGAGAAGTCCTTGACGAAGCAGATCGACGTGCTCGGGGAGGAGATTTTGGAGCATGAGGTCCCCTTCCCTTGCGTCGCCGAGCAAGGAGGAGCGGAGGAGGAGGAGAAGAAGTGAAAAGAAGGGAGGCCGAGGATACAGAAAGGTGGGATTGCCATGCGGGCGTGATCATGCAAGGCAACGTAGAGGACGCGGGCGGGGACTATCCTTAAAAGTCGGGCCTGTCATTCAAACATAGAAAAAAATGGCCCGGGGACCATTTGTTTACTGCTTCTGCGAAAGTTTAGAGTATTTGTTTGGGAAAGTTTTATTTTTCGTCCAAGATCCGCCTGTAGGTGGACACGCCCGACCTAAGATCGGGAGCGGCAAAGAGGGGGTGATGACTGGGGGGGGGATATCATGGCGTGGGCCACGATAATTCCCCAGATTTCATGGCGCCTCTTATGATTTCATTACGTCCCTGGGTCCCCCCCTGGGCCGCGCACATGCCGCCGGCCATGCTTTGCACCCCCCCCTCTTGGACGCCTCCCTCTTGGCCGCCCCCGATAAGACTATCCCCTCCCCTCCCTCCGCCTCGCCTTCCCCCCGCTCTCTGCCCCTCCTCGCCCTCTCTCCGTGCCCGCCTGCCGCACCCCAGGCTGCCCGCGCAGCAGCGATCTCCTTCCTCCTCCTCCTCCTCCTCCTCCTCCTCCCCTTCTCTCCTCCCCTCTCCTCCTCCTCCTCCTCCTCCTCCTCCTCCTCTCCTCCTCCTCCTCCTCCTCCTCCCTCCTCCTCGCCTTCCTCCTCCTCCTCCTCCCCCTCCTCCTCCCTCCTCCTCCTCCTCCTCCTCCTCCTCCTCCTCCTCCTCCTCCTCCTCCTCCTCCTCCTCCTCCTCCTCTCCTCCCTCCTCCTCCTCCTCTCCTCCTCCTCCTCCTCCTCCTCCTCTCTCTCCTCCTCCCTCCTCCTGCTCCCCCTCCCCTCCTCCCCTCCCTCCTCCTCCTCCGCCTCCTCCTCCTCCTCCTCCTCCTCCTCCTCCTCCTCCTCCCCTCTCCCCCACCTCCCCCTCCTCCTCCTCCTCCCCCTCCTCCTCCTCCTCCTCCTCCTCCTCCTCCTCCTCCTCCTCCTCCTGAAGTACAGGGCCTGGCTCGAGTAAGGAACGCCTGCTTGTCACAAGGAGCTCGGTCGTTCCCTGGGTTTGCGCGCGCTCTGCCACCTGTTCGGGGGCGAGCCCCCCTTGGCGTCCCCTCGGGCTTCGTGGGCTCTCTTGCAACAGAAAGGGGCTGCGTTCCTCATTCATCGTTCACCTCCTCCTCCCCCTCCCCCACCTCCCCCTCCTCCTCCTCCCCCTCCTCCTCCTCTCCACCTCCTCCTGAAGTACAGGGCCCGACTCGAGTAAGGAACGCTTACCTTTCAAAAGGGGCTCGGTCGTTCCTTGGGTTTGCGTGCGCCATGCCACCTTTTCGTCGGCGAGCCCCCCTTGGTGTTCCCTTGGGCTTCGTAGACTCTCTTGGAACAGAAAGGGGCTGCGTTCCTCATTTATCGTTCCTTAGGTCAGGCCGAATACTGTGGATATGTTTCGGAGATCCAGGCTCCAATCTACTCCAGCCTTCCTACCTCAGGAGTGTGTCCGCTGGTTTTATTCCGCTGCTCCTTGGGCGGGCCTGAACCCAAATCTGCCAGATCCGCCTTCCTTCAGGGGAGGAACAAAACACCCAGACCCGATAATCGGCGTTGCTTATTATGAGGATGGACTTTCTGCTCTCTATTCCTGATTACCTACTTCATCTTTCCAGACACTTCTTCTGACGGGCAGATCGCCGTCGAGATCCAGAGCCGAGCCCAGGGGTTGACCTGAACGCTGTTTGGGCGATTTCGTGGGCCGTTTTCGTTTCGACTTCGTTCTGCAGCAACGGCGGATGGAATCGAAGACGAAAGCATTGCATAAACAGAAACTGTTGGCGCTCCGCGCGGGTTTCTTGGATCTGCGCTGGGGCCCCCTGGCGGCGCCTGCGGCGCCGCCCCTGGCGCGCTCCACGCGCCAAGGAATAATGAACGAGGACGCTGGAGTAGCATACAGCCGGGGCCCTGAAGAAGGAACCCTTTTCGTTGGGGAGGGGCTCCGCGTTCCTTAAGTGTTTCACAGCTTTCCTCAGGCTTTCCTTATGCTTTCGACAGGAAGTCGAAGGTTAACTTCTGGAAATAAACAGGGGCCTCGTTCCATATTTAGGGTTCCTTAGGTCAGCGCCCCGACTGTAAGAAGATGGAGGAGTCTGGGGATCAGGCGGGTGGCTGGCGACCCAGACGAAGACGGCGCAGCGGCGTCGCACCGCAGGCCGCCTCGGAGAAGGCCAAGCAAGTTCGTGACGATGAGAACAAGCTGTGGCAGGATGCTGACAAGGACCCCGAACTAGTCCTCCCCCTCGCTTTCATCATCCTCAGCATGGTCACGATCAGCAAAGTGATGGTTCAGTAAACCCTCTCGTGCCGCGAGATCGAGCCCGGCGCGTGGCCAAGAAGCGATGTTTCATCCGTGCCTTGCTCACTCTTGGAGATCGTGCTTCCGCCGAAGACAGGGGCATCCGAGGTCCGCGCGGACTTCTCGATCGGCGCTCGACCCCCCGCGCGGCACCGATCCACGAAGCCGCTCGGGCCACCGAAATCTTATACGATACAACTGGCGTCCTGCCCGCTGCGCCCTGGGCCCTGGGGCAGCATTTTTTTCGACCCCCCCCCTCCTGCTTTCGACCCAGGGGTTCGTGGCCCCGTTTCGGGGCTTTGGGGGGCTACTTCGGCTTCGTGAGGCGTCCAACACACAATTTTCACACGTGAGCGTCTTTTTATGAATTCTTTTGGCGATCGGCGCGGGCTCTCGCACCCCCCCTCCCGCCCCCCGTGGAGTAGATCATGGCCGTTTTTTGCGCGCCTGCTTCGAGCGGGTGGGGTCTCCCCCGGAGGCCGCCCTCTTGAACACAGCCGCGAAGCAGAGGTCGGGAGCCAGACCCCCCCCCCCCTCCCCCCCCCTTCTGCCCAATGTCGAAACGCCGAATGAAAATTATCCCGACAAAGCAACCTAACAGCGATGTGTAGAAGCATATCTGAAAGCATTCCCCTTAAGATTCAGATGAAAATCCAGTTGTAGAATTCTGCTGTTCTCGCAGTCGTAGTCGCATTCGCGATGAAAAAAAAACGCTCGCCATCGGTCGCCAGCGAGCTTGGGCCCCTCGGCCAGTCACGGCTGCGCGCCCCTGCCGCCGCCCGCCTGCTCCCACGTGCGGCGGGTGCCACCGCTGCGGCGGGTGCTCGGGGCGGCTCGGCCCGCGCACGTGCCGGCTGCAGCCGGGGGGGTCGTTATAGCGCTGCCCCGGGCGCTCCACAAGCCAGGCGACCGCAATCATGCACTTTGAGGGGGCGTGGATTGGCGACCGGCCCACAGTTTCCACTGGAGCTTGTGGATTCCCGCCGCCAGGCGAGGCGGCACCGGCCGCATATCTGGGGAGGGCACGCCCCCCCCCCCCCCCGGATCCGTGGATTTGGCGACCGCGCGCCAAATCCGTGGATCGCTAATCTCAGGAGGGAAAGAAACACACAGACACAATTCGTCGTCCATCCCCCGGAAAATATATGCGAAACTATGGGAAGTGGGGGGGAAGACAAACACCCAGAACATGTGGGAACATATAGGGGGAATATTTTTATTTGTGCGTATTTATTTGTGTGTCCTGGGGCCCCTTCATAATCCATCGGGGGCGGACAGAACCCCCAACAGTGACACGTCGATTAGTGAATTGTCCGTTTTCGGTTTTCGTGAGGGCGCCGTGGTCGTTATTTTCCAGGCTTGCGCCCGCTAGGTTTGGGCCCGAAGTCGTTTTCACTAAACCACGTTTTACTAAAGGGAGGTTTGTCCATCCCTGAATGTTTGTGCGCCCCCGAAAGACCAAGCATGTGGGAAGCAAGCGCCACGGGCTGCGCGTGCGTCGCGAGAGGATGTGCGGGTCTGGGGGGCCAGCCCCGAGGGCCCCCAAGAACGGCTCAAGACCCCCCCCCCCCCCAGGCGCTCCAGGATTGGGTGTTTTCCTCCTCATCCTCCTCCTCCTCCTCCTCCTCCTCCTCCTCCCTCTTCCTCCTCCTCCTCCTCCGCCGCCTCCTCCTCCTCCTCTTTTATTCATCGTTTTGCCGATCGGCGCGGGCCCTCGCACCCCCCCCTCCCCCCCCCATGGAGTAGATCCTGGCTGCTTTTGGCGCCTGTTTCGAGCAGGTGGGGTCCCTCGCCCTTGGGGGGACGCACTGCTGCAACCAGTCGCACTAAGCAGGGGTCCCGAGCCATACCCCCCCGTCGCAGGCCTAGAGGTTGACACCAGCACCAATATTCGCGGTGTGCCTCCACCGAGGGAAGACGATCCCGATCTCGGTGATGATGGTAATGCTCTGGCTTCCAAGGTGACCGAACTACTACCACCAGCACCGAAGTCTAGGGTCGTCTTCACCCTGTGTTGGTGTCGGTGCCCATTTCCAGGCCTCCAATCGGCGTCACCCCAACATAATTATACTATATGTGCGTCGCCCCCCCATGGGGCGACGCGCGCACCGAGAAATCTTACAGTATATGCGTCGTGGCGGGCGCTTTCTGGCCACACCGCTCGGGAAACGATACACCACAAGATGGGTATACTATATGTTCGGGTCGGACGCGCGCCTCCAAGGAGGACAGATAGTATCAGTATGTCTCTGTGCGTCCCATCCACCCCCCACCCCCCCCCCTTCCGCCCAATGTCGAAGCGCCGAATTCAAACACAAAACGCCCACATCACAACCCTTTTGGGGGGAACCGCCGCGCGACGCACCCCGGGAGCTCCCACGCGCTGCTGGGCATGCTGGGAACCCGCGGCGTGGAGCCCCGAAGCGCGTGCGCTTGCGGCACGGTGGTGGTAGAGAGAGAGAGGGAGAGAGCGAGAGCGAGAGAACTAATAAACAAATAACGAGAGAGAGAGAGAGAGAGAGTGGGAGGGAGGTAGGGAGGGAGGGAGGGAGGGAGGGAGGGAGAGAGGAGAGAGAGGCGAGAGAGGCGAGAAGAGAACGGAAGAGCATTGCAGAGCAGAGCAGAAAAGAGGAGAGGCAGAAAGAGAGAGAGAGAGAGAGAGAGAGAGATGTGGCCCTCCCCTTCGCCGCTTCCGTTTCGCCCAGCAAGGCGAGGGTGCGCATGGGCCAGCGCGGTGAAGATCTGCAGACAATGCACGCACAGAATTTCAGCCCCCGGCCCGCGGAGTCTCGTCTTCCTCGTCTGGCGCTCAAGGGACTTGCACTCGCTGCCGCCGTCCAAGCGTCGCAGGCGGGCTCCTGCAATGTGCGGCGGCCCATCCGTCCCCCGACAGGTCCCCCCGAGGTTTCCTCATGCTCCCACTGCCATTCTCTCAGCTTGTCCCCCATCCCCTCGTTGCTCCTCCTCCTCCTCCTCGCCCTACTCCTCCTCCGCCCCGTCCCCTTACTCCTTCTGTTCCTCCTCCTATCCTCCTCCTTCTCCTCCTCCTCCCCCCTCCTCCTCCTCCTGCTCCCCCTCCCCTCCTCCTCTCCCTCCTCCTCCTCCTCCTCCTCCTCCTCCTCCTCCTCCTCCTCCCTCCTCCTCCTCCTCCTCCCCTCCTCCTCCTCCTCCTCCTCCTCCCCCCCCCTATGTTTTGTCTTCATCCCTCCTCCGGCCCCGTCTTCTGCCCCCCAGTGCCTCCCGCCCCGCCGTCCGCCGATGCCCCTGCGTGACGTTTCCTCCCCCAATTCCGCCCTCTTCGTTATGTTTTTCCCAACGCCCCGCGCCCCTCGTCCGTCATCCGTCCTTCCCCTCTCCCTCAAGTTACATGTCCACCACAGCGACTTAGGCGTTATGCAGACATGTCGTGCGCTCTGGCTGGCTTTAGCAGTTTTGAAAAAAGATAGGTGTGCGCACCCAGAGTCGACGACTGAATCTTGAATTTCCGCCGAGTGCCAATCACTCAGCGAGACACGATTCCTAGGCGGGCTGGCTTGGCCATGCAACCATCGAGTTGTACACCGAAGCGAGGCAGTGAGACGCCCGAGTGCTTTCACACTCCCTGCTTACGATTTTTTATGTGTGCACATTCTGGTCAAGGTTCGGTTCTTTAGCCAACCGCGCCGCGCGTGTGAAAATGCAATTTATGTACAGTGGGGGCCCATGCTAAGAAACATCTCGCTTGCCTCCAGGGTGCCCGGGGTATCTTGGGTTTCGATGGTTTTGCTGTGGAACGCGTGACGTTCTAACGCCAAAAATCAATGGACGTCCTGGGGTCTCAGGGTTGGGCCTCTTGTGAAAGGTTTCTTGTGGACTGACCCCCACTGTAGTCAAGATGCGGTTCTTTACCCAACCGCGCCGCGCGTGTGAAAATGCCACTGATGTCCCAGCACGCCCCACATGTAGTTCTTTCGGTCCTTTTGACAAGAGCCCAGATGAGGCCCGTCTTCTCACTGCACAGGACGAGCGCCATCTTCCACATGAAGTTGATTGCCAGCGATGTCGATCTGTACACGGTGGGATATAGTTTCTCAGCGCGCATGCGGTAAACTTTGTGTTTTGCAAGCGCTTGCGTTCGAGCGTAGCGGTTTGATTGGTTGATGGGGAGGAAGAGGTTGCTGTCCAGCAGATGCTTCCATTCCATTCACTTCGTGCGCAGGATTTGGAACTCACGATCGGGGCCATCTCCGAGGTCCTTGAGATCATGAAGGATGGCCTCTTCCGCTGCACCATCCCGTCCCCTCGTCCGCTTCATGGTGAGTCTTTTCGTTCTCCTCGTCGTCCTCTCCCAGTCCACGAAGGGGGACCTCTCCTGCTGCAGCGATGCGTTTCAAGCCACGCGATGTGGTTGTCCACCACGGCTCGCCTGCGCAGGTTCTGCGTGAGGAGAAGGACGAGGTGCAACAGCAACAGCTTCAGGAGCAGGCCGAATCTGAGACGGAGCAGGAGGAAGAACGAGGGGCACGACGGCGATCGTGGTGATGATGCCTGTGTCAGTGCTGGTGATGATGATTGCGGTTGCGACTGCGATTACGATTGTGATGGTCGCGGCGGAGATGATGATGTTGATAGTTCTGACGATTTACACGGTGGCAGTGATGCGGACGATGGGATTGCCGGCGACGATCACGCCGCCCTTGGAAGGTCCGCCGCCATGGCGTTCACGCTGAGCGATACAGTGCGTGCACGTTCGGACCTCGCCGCGTGACCAGGCACCAGCTCAGAGGGTGAGCAACAGGTTGGACATCTCGAACGAAGAAGCATGGCTGCAATTCCGGGGAGGTTGAATTTCAGCATCGGCGCTATCATGTCTTCTGGTCTAGTCCCGCACAGCTCGGCCCAATTAGATTTCATCAGACCTGCTCCAGCTTGGTCTGGCCTGATCGGATGATCATTCCGGCATTGTCCGGCTCAGTGCCCCTCCCGAATCTGGCTTGATGGATCTGAATCGTTCCCGCGAAGAGTTCCAAAGAGTTGTTGCACCATGGGAGCAGGAGCGAACCTTTTTCCCCTCGGGGCCTCTGCTCCAGACCGAGCAGTGGCACCCCACTGCCAGGGGAGGGTGTCTCGGGCGCCGCTGCTTAATGGGCTCTCCTGGGGGGCTCGACTCTTACAGGGTCCGGCTTGAATAAGGAACACTTACTTCAGGAGCGAAAGAAGGACGTACATGTACATGAATCCACGCTGGTTTCGAGAGTACGCATTGCGAAAATGTTCGTATAACGCGGCCAGTCTCACGGATCGAGGGGTCGTGTTCATGTACATAGCTGGGCGCGTACGTCCTTTGTGGGCTCCCTATTACTTTTCAGAAGGGGCTCGGTCGTTCCTTTGATTTGCGTGCGCTCCGCTGCCTTTGGAGCGGCGAGAGCCCCCCCTGGTGTTCCTCCGGACTCCCTATAGACTCACCTGGAACCAACGGGGCCTCGCTCCCTCTTTCTCGTTCCGTAGGCCAGGCCGAATGCTCCATGGGCTCTCCTGGGGGGCTCGACTCTCACGTCCGGGCGCTGTCGTGTTCAGAGCTCTGCTCCGACGGCTCCGCGGTTGGCTGCCGCTCGGAACAGTTCCGCCCGCCTCCGCCCGTCGGGAAGCGCCCGCCCCGCGGGCGGGCACTCCCGCTCGGGCCTCGCCCTTCTGCGGGCACTCTCGGCAGCGAGGGGGGCGATGACGAGGGGCCTGGCATCGCTCGGACATGTGCATTTTTTCTCGGCGAGGGCCATCGAGGAGTATCGTTGATCATTTGGCGAAAAAAAATCCACGCACGAAAGCGAACAAAAACCACAGGGAATGGACCTCCGAGCGATGGCCAGGGGGGGGGGGATATCATGGCGTGGGCCATTCTCTTTCCCCAGATTTCATGGCGCCTCTTCCTATTTCATTACGTCCCTGGCCCCCCCCCCCGCTGGGCCGCAACCTCCCAGGCCCCCGGGGCCTCCAGACGGCTGTCTTTAGGGATACAAAAGGTGACATAAACATATAAAACCTCGGAGGTCCGCGCGGATTTCTCGGATCGGCGCTGGGGCCCCCCGGCGGCGCCTCCGGCGCCGCCCCTGGCGCGCTCCGCGCGCCGGGGAGGGGGGGTCCAGCGCCGATCCGGGAAATCCGCGCGGACCTCCGAGGTTTTCTGTTTATGTCACCTCTTGTATCCCTAGCCCTGGGCAGCAGACGCCGGAGGTGCTGCCCGCGGCGTCGCGCTGCGGCCCGCACGGAGCGGTCGTGCACGCCTGCCTGGCGCGGGCCGCGCTGCCAGGTTTTCGGCCCGCCCACGTTTCGGCGCGGCGCGCGCCGCACGTCCCGGCCCCCGAGCAGCAGCTCTCCACGCGACTGCAGCCCCCCTTTCCCACGATGCTCAGGAGGGAAGAAGAAACACACAGGCACAGTTCATCGTCCATTCCCCAGAAAAGATGGGAAACTATGGGAAGGGGGGGGGAAGACAAGGGCCCAGAAAACATGGGAAAATCAAAAGGGGGAGTCCTGCTATTTGTGTGTGTATTTCTTTGTGTGTCCCAGGGCCCCTTCAGCTGTGGAGCGACACGCTGCCAACTCGCGTGTCGCAGCGTGTCGCAGAGGCCGTCGGCGCGACGCGGCGGGCGAGAGCTCCTCGCCGCGAGCGGCGCCGACTGCTCTCCTCGGCGGGTCCGCTGCAGGCTGCCGAGGGGCTCTCTCCAGGCCAGCCGCGGGGACCGAGCTTGGGGCCTCGGGGGGGGGGGGGGGGCGGAGCGTCGGGCAGTGCCCTGCTGCGGCCCCGCCCGTGGGCTCCAGAAGGCGAAGGGCACAGATCTCGGGAGGAGAAGGGACACACAGACACAATTCATCGTCGGCCCCCAGGAAACTAGGGGCAAATATGGGACGTGGGGGGGAAGGCAAAAACCCAGAAACTACAGAAAATATGCGAACATATGGGGAATCCTGTTATTTGTGAGTATTTATTTGTGTGTGTGTGTGTGTGTGTGTGTGTGTGTGTGTGTGTGTGTGTGTGCCAGGGCCCCTTCAAAATCATCAGCAGACGGAAGCCTTGCAGAAGAGCAGCAACAGCAGTAAAACCATCGAGCAAGAGCACGCGCAGCTCAACAGCATGCTGCCTGCCACCGCTCGAGGCTGAACAGACTCCACAACCTCAAATTGTTGGAGGTCCGTGTGTATTTCTTGGATCGGCGCTGGGGCCCCATGGCGGCGCCTCCAGCGCCGCCTTTGGCGCGATTCGCGCGTCAGGGAGGGGGGTCCAGCGCCGATCCAAGAAATTCACACGGACCTCCGAGAAATCACGTGTCTGCAGTGTTGATTCCTCTATCCTCCTGCTCGTCCAGTGGCTGCCGTGGGTAGGCGTTTCATACAGGCACTGCTGACCTCTGACCCTCATCGGTTCTTGTCGTGTCTTGTCCTCATCCGCCGCCGCTCTCCTCCGACGTTGCAGTTTCTTCGTGACGTCGGCCCCTGGGGTTCGACCGCTTTCCACGAGCCGGCTTTTTCATCGTGAGCGGGTTCCTGACGGCTCTGGAGCATCGGTGGGTCAAAGATGGGGTCCTGAGGGATGGGGTCCTCAGGATAATAGGAAGGGGTCCAAGGTCGGATCTACGTTGTTCGAGGCACCTCGTCCTCGGGACCCCATCCCTCAGCACCCCACCTTCGAAACACCGAGAGCAGGGAGAGGGCCCCCAGGGGTCGAGAGCTGCGACAGCCGACTGGCGCGCTCCCCCTCCCCCTCCTGGATCTGAGGGCCCCTCCCTCGACGCCTCCCCTCCCGCCGCCTCCCCCCGCCCCGGCCCTCCTCCCGTTGGGATGCAACTCTTGGGAGATTCGGTTCGGCATCGGCGCTGGTGTATCCGTGGTCGGAAACCTGCCCAATCTGGCATCATCCTCTTGAGTTCCGCGGGATCCGGCTCCCTCCGGCTCAACCCCCAGGGTTAATCTAATCTAGGCTGACCCTGTCTGCTTGATGGCCCCGCAATCGGGCTCCATTCTAGGCCTCTTAGATGGGGTCCGAGCAGAGGGAGTCGCAGGATCACGCCGCATCGCGGATGCATCGACGATGCGGCTCGACGTGGAGCCTGAATTTCTCCATGCTGCCATCGCCCATACACCGCCGACGTCGCCGATGCATCGCCGAGGCCTCGGTGATGCGGTGGCCCCTATTGGGAGGCCTCTATCGGGTGTTGCTAGAAGTGCCCCTGGCCCAAGGTACCCCCAGGACTCCCGGGGTGGCCCCGATGGCCTCCAGGGCACCCCTCACGAGGCCCAGAGGGCCCCAGGGGCTCCAACATGGAGCGAAAAGCTGGGGGCACTTTGGGCCAGGGACACTTCTGGCAACACCCGGCTCTAACCACAGCCCTTGCTGGCTCTTGCCGAGCCTGATGGGCGTGTTTTCCACCACCAGGGCCATTAGTTGGAGGGGGAGGTGCTCCTTCTCCTCCTCCTCCTCGTCCTCCTCCTCCTCCTCCTCCGCCTCCTCCTCCACCGCGTCCTCCTCCTCAAATCGCGCCCCTCAGCGCCCCCCCTGGGAGTGGCGGCCCGTAGCCGGCCCTGGCTCCAGCGCCGCGCCCGTTCGCTCCCCGGCCCTGCGGCCGCCCGCTGCAAGCAGCGGCGAAGCGTCCTGGCTCGCCGATGGCCCTACCAAGCACTGTCGTAAGAACCTTTCGTGGTTTCCACGAAATGTCTTTAGAACATTTCTAAGAACATAAGAAGAAGACGACGCATTGCGTTGCATAGCCCGAGTCATAATACTTTCTACTCCACCTGCTGCATGCCGCAGCACAGAGAGCTGCCTCACACAAGTCGTGGGATTCGGTAGGAGGAGGGGGAGGGTTTTTGTTCTCAGAACATTTTTTGGGTTCTGAGAACATTTCGTGGTATGACTAATAGGACTGCCGGGACGGTCGGTCCCTGCTCCACCGCTCCCCCCCCCCCGCGCGCGGCGCGGGGCGCGGCGCCGAGGGGGCCATGCGGGCGGCGCCGTGGGCGCTGCTGCTGGCGACCTGCCCCGTCCGGGGCCTGAGGAGCTCGGAGGAGGATCGGGGGAGCGTAAGACCCGGGTTTGCCGGGACTCGGGTTCGCCATCGTTTTTTGACGACCGCGACTCGGATTTTGACGAGGATGAGTTTCGTGGGATGTCTGCAGCGGGAGGCCTCGTCAAAATGCAGGCTCGGCCTCGTCATTTTTTTGACGACCTCGTCGGGGATTTCCGAGTCCCCCGTACCCGGGTCTTACGTCTCCCCGAGAGGAAGAGGCACCCATGCCTCTACTCCAGATTTTGTAAGAAAGGGAGGGGGGTCTCGTTTCGGGGGGGGTCTCTTCCAGGCTATCTTGGAGGGCCTGGGGGGTCTGGGGACGATGTTTTGGAGGGTTTCCTACGGGGGAGGGTCTGACATGGCTCGTCTTGGAGGGTCCAGACCCCCTCCCTTTTATTACGAAATCTGGAGTACCCTTCGCCCGTTTTCCCCTTTTTGGGGCCTCCTCGGAGGCCCTCGTCGCCACCACCGGATTCGCCTCGAAGTTCTGGTCAGAGCGCACCCCGGGAGAGGTCCGGGGAGCAGCGGTATCGGTACTTTTTCGTTTCCCCAGGAACGGCCTGGACCTGGTGCCTCCCATGGGCTGGTCTCCGTCCTCGTCCCTCGTCGTCCTCGGCCCCGCCGCCCTCGCCGTGGTCCCCGTCCTCGTCGTCCTCATCCTCGTCGTCCTCCTCCTCGTCTTCGTCGTCCTTGGCCTCGCCACCCTTTCGCTCTCGGTCTTTCTCTCTCTCTCTCTCTCTCTCACTCTCTATCGCTTCTCGCTTATGTCTCTGTCTCTGTCTCTCTCATTCGTTATATTTCTATCCATCTGTCTACTTTCTCTGTATCGCTTGTTTGTCAAAAGGAGTGATCGCGCGATTCTTACGCGGAGACCGTGTGTGGGGGACACTGTGCGCATTGTGGGAGGTTCTTGCGACTGCACTTGGCATTGGATTTGCGCGCGCGTAATTCCGCAGGAGTTCGATGAGGCGCAGAATAGGCACGATAGAAACGGACCCCTTGCACAACACCTCGTTTGCATCTTGTGCGCCGGGGCACCCTTCGCTCTGGCACTCTATAAGTATTTTCGTTTGTATTTTCGCTTGGTATGTCTCTCTGTCTCTCTGCTACCCCTATTGATTCCGTATCCATCAGCTGCATCTCTTCCTCGCTTGTTTCCCCTTGTTCTCGCTTCCCCTCCCGCTCCTGCTCCTCCTGCATCGGCTCCCGCCCATGCTCGCAGCCGTTCTTACTCAGGTGAGTTCCTGAGTTTGCGGTAGCCAATGCTTGAGGACGGCTGGGTGATCGCCAGCCTTTTCGCGAGCTGTGAGAGGCAGAACGACCTTCTTCACGATTATGTTCCTGTGGGCGGCATGATGGGGTCAGCAGTATGGTTCCTCCCCCTTCGTGCAGCAGCTGACCAAACATGGTGTGTCAGCATTGCTTTCACGATAGCAAAGGATATCGTTTCTTCAACAAATCAGGCCGCGAAGCTTACTACACTTGCCGTCGCTCGAAGTTGGATTTGATTTCGCCGCTATAAGCAGGCAGCTCCTCCGAGCACCAGAGTCCCTTCCAACAGTGACAAGCCTTACCTTTGGACGGCATGCGCGAGTGCAACCAATGCCGAGTTCAAGACAGCGCAAGAGAAGATCAACACGTTCGAGGGCAGGCTTGCAAAGTGAGTTGCCGTCAGCGACGATTTGGAGGGGATGGACATCGACGCTGGGGCTGGCAAAGGTTGAGTAAAGGGCGGCACCAGTTCCAGCAACCATGATGACCGAAGACTATGGTACGTCTTGCGGATTTGGACAAGCACATGAAGATGGTAGGCAGATGTCGGTTCCACTTCGTGACAGTGTTTCAAACGAGCGCGCTCGTCTACAGAGGGCAATAAGTATGCACGCACCTGCGGTTGCGAGAATGCTGGCGAATGTTAGACACAGGGAGCATATTGAGAAGCAGGTCGCACAGCAGGGCGAGGCGATCGATAGTCAAAAGGAGCGTCTCGCGGACATGCAACAACATACTGAGGAGTCTGAGTTCGCCGTCGCCGAGAAACTGGCAAGTTTGAAGAGATGCGCACGAGCGCGCTGGACCTGGCCAAGTAGAATGTCGTCCTTCCGGGACGGGGGATGGAGGATCTCAAGGCTTGGCTGCAATTGGGCTTGATGCCACTAAGTTGGGAGAGGTGCTGCGTCCATTGGGCGTTGCTGATAGTGACCAGCAGTGTGCAAAAGGCGCCGCGCAGGCTCTCCCAATCATCGCCACGAATCCGAAGCTGCAAGTGCCAGGCAAGACTACGGACTCAGCAGGCAGTAGGGCCATCATAATCGTTCCAGTACCAGTACAAACAGAACGCAAGGTGTCGATCAGAGATGCCAGTTTGGAGGTGGTCTAGGCGATGTTGGAAGCTGCTGGAGCTGTTCCGTCAGGCGGTGAACAGGAACTCAGACAGGCAGCCAGCAAATTATTCGATCGCAGGAACGAAGCCAAGTTCAATGGTTACGATACTAGCGTCAGCGAAGATGACTACTGCCAAACGGCTGTTGGGAAGCACGCAGCATGCAAAGGATATCGGCGGTGCGAGCGTAGAAAAAGCCAGGCGGTGCGCATGGTCTTGCGGGTCTGGCAGCGCCCGGGCCCTCTGGTACTCGTGGCAACGTGGAGACTGCCAGGTGGCGCGCTTGGTCTGGTCGGTCTGGCGCAGCTGCTGGCGCGCGAAAAAAACAAGGTCCGATGCCGAGATGGCGGGCCAGATCGCGACGGTCAGTGCGGATGCACCAGGGCCTTTGCCTCAATGTGTAGAGATGCCGAGAGATGCAGCGGTTCCGCGCGGGGGCGCAATAATGATGCGCTTCTGCAGTTGGAAGGCCCCAGGCATCGTGGGCCCTTCTCGGCAGCCGATCGCACGGATGCAGATCGTCTCTCAGCGGGCGTCGTTGCGCTAGTTGCGCCGTCTGCGGCGATCGCGCATTTTCTTTTTTGTTGAAGTCTCCTGGGCTTCGGCCAGCGCGTGCTACTGCCGCGCAGAGTACTTTGGCGGGCGCGCGGGCGCGGGGGGCAGTGCGTTCGCGCCCGTGCGTCTGAAGGATTCAGTCGGCGCCGGCAGCTCTGATAAACCATAGATTCGCAATGTGTCGGTGCACCTCGGCGCGCTGAATGCCGGGCCCCGGCCGCGGGTGGCGGGTGGAATCTGGCGCGTGGGACCTATCGGGTACGAGGACAATCGCGATGAGCAGTTGAACGCAATGTGTGTAGCTCTTCCGGGGCCACGTGCAGAGTCGACAATCGCTGCGAGGGCAGGACGTGGCATTGTGCTATTGTGGCTGAAGCGTTGGCGGCCCGAGGCGAGGGCCCGGGGGTAAATTTCGCCGCGGCCGCGCCGACGCGCGCGCCCGTCGGTCTATGTGTCTCTGCCGCGGACAAAGAGACGTGGCTCAGACTGCCTGTTGAACCCCAGCAGCTGCCCCGCGCGCCCAGCGCGGGGCGCCTCAGATTTCCGGCGGATCGGGCGCCCGTCGCGATGGCGATAATGCAGACGCGGGAATTGAAGTGCAGCATCGCGCGCCCGGCATTGCGGCCGATGCGACAGGCGCGACGACGCAGGGCCCGCTCATACTTGATAGGTTGGGCGAGGGGCCACTCGCGGCAAGTGGAACTTCGCCAAATAGACGCCCCAGCTCGCGCGTCTTCATCGTGTCTGCCTATTTTTTGACAGACCACGCTTAAAATCCTTCGGGCGCGGGCGGGTCCGAGGCGCGATCCGCCCTCTGAGACGCCCCCGCCCCGATTGCCTTGCCCGCGTCGCGGGGCCCCCGGCGGTCGTCGACGAAGGTCGCGGAAGAGGGTGTCACAGGCCCGCCTGACTTCGGTTTGGCATTCAAAATCCCTCTCTGCGGAGCGGTCGTTGCATGCCAGACCTTGCCCCGCGGGCGGCGCGATCTGATCCTGGCGGGGCGCCCGCGCCGGCCCCGCCCAGCCGCCGCGCGGAAGAGCCCCGACAATTTCGAACGCCGCGGGCGTTGTCGAAGGGGCGAGCGGCAGTGACTGACTGGTGACCGCTCCCTGCCCGGCTCCGGGGAGTTGCCCCTTCCAGACATCTGGGGATCTTCTTGGAACGGTGTTCGCGCGCGAGAAATTGGACATCGCGGGCGTCATCTTTGCGCGCGGCTAACGGCAGCAATATAAGTGAAGCGCGCGATGAGGGCGAGTGCGGCCCGGCGCAACGCGACAGGAATATCGCGTTCGTGGCCGGCGCGCTGGAAGATGCGATATGTCCGGTTACAGTTGCCCTTGCACTGGTCGCGCGGCGAAAGTAGACGACGTGGCGGAGACTGCGGCGACGGGGGATGGCCGGGCAAAGGTGGGCCATGTCAAAGGGGGGGCCATTGGCGAATGACTGCGCTCAGGATGGCCAGGATGCCCGCGAGTTGCTTGCCCGGCGCAGAGGCTTGTCAAGGCTCGGGTTGATGCGTGATATCTCTTGAAGAATATCTACGAGGCCCTAGAACTGATGAGCAATCAAGATGACTACGTTGCGGAAAGAGCTCGTTGCGCGGCCGATTGGGGGGGCTCGGAACCCGACCCCCCCCCCCTGGATGGTGAGTGGGGGCGGTTGGGGCCCCCCTCCCCCCCCCTCCCGCGACGGGGGGGGGGCTGGTTCGAGCCCCCCTTCTCCTCCCCTTTTTCTTTCACTTCGCCTCTCTCTCTCCCCCCCCCTCGGGCCAGCGCCCGCGTCGGCGGAGGCCGGCGGCGGCGGCGGGGGCGACGATCTCCTGTTCCGGGCCTGCGTTGGGGCCTGCGGCGGCGGGCGGCGGCGGCGGGGAGCGTCGAGGAGGACGACGCTGGTGGCGGTGGTGGTGGTGGTGGTGGTGTTTGCGGTGGTGGTGCTGGCGGTTGTGGTGGTCGCGGTGGTGGTGGTGCTGTGGTTGGTGGTGGTGGTGGTGGTGGTTGTGGTGGTGGGTGGTGGCGGTGGTGGTGGTGGTTTGGTGGCGGAATTGTTGTGGTTCATGGTAGTGGTGGTGGTGGTGGGTGTGGGTTTTGGTGGTGGTGGTGGTTTGGTGGTGGTGTGGCGGTGGTTTGTGGTGGTGGTGGTGGTGGCTTGTGTTGGTGGCGGTGGTTTGTGGAGGTGGTGCTGGTGGTGGTGGTGGTGGTGGTTGGTTGTGGTGGTGGTGGGTTGTGCTGCTGGTAGTGGTGGCGGTTGTGGCGGTGGTGGTGGTGGTGGTGGGGTAGATGGGTGGTAGTAGTGGCGGTGGGATTGTGTGATTGTGGTGGTGATGGTGAGTTGTGGTGGTGGTGGTGGTGGTGGTTGTGGTTGGTGGTGGTGGTTGCGGCTGTGGTGGCGGTGGTGGTGGGTTGCGCGGTGGGTTGGTGGTGGCGTGGTGGGTTGAGGCGGTGGTGGCGCGGCGGCAGCGGCAGCGGTGGCGGTGGCGCGGTGGGGTGGGGGGTGGGGTTTGAACCCCTTTTCCCCATGCTGCCTCTGGTCGTCGTCGCTGCGTTCCCGCCGTCGGCGCTGCGGGCCGCCGCCAGCGCCGGCGCCGGCGCCGGCGCCCGGGGGGAGGTTTGAACCCCCCCACTCCCCTTGAGCTGCCTGGGGTCATCGTCGCTGTGTCCCCGCCGTCGGCGCTTCTGGCGGCCGCCAGCGCCTGCGCCGGTGCCGAGGGGGGGGGGGGGCGTCTTGAACCCCCCGCCCCTTGGGGGGTGGGTCGGGGGGTGGGGGGGGTTGGGGGGGGGGCCCTGGCATGGATTGACGGCGCCGAATGTCGCGGTTGGGGGGGCGCCCCCCGTTCGAAACGCGCCGCCGATGTTCCCAAGGCAAGCGCCAGTGAAACGCGCTCTCTCAGGTTGCGAGATATTCTGGTTGGGGATGCGGGGCGATTGCGAGTAGGGGGTCCTAGAAGACGGCGTTCAGAGTTATCGAGACGGCAGATGTTCAGTTTCAGCAGCATTGGGCGCAAGTAGAAGCTCCATGGCGAAGATGGATCAAGGGCGCGTCTGGTAATCGAGCTGGGCCGGCGCATCGGGCGTCTCGCCCGCGGGCATTGGGAGCTGCCGCCGCGCATCATGCACTCGGGTCGCAGGCAACATCGTGCATTGACTGGTCGGTAGATTGAGCAATGGCGGGGGGCACAGCGCCGCCATGATGTGCAGGAGGTGAGTTCGTCAGAGGATCGCGTGGGATGGGATGGGCTTCCGCGGCGATTTCAAGGGGAGAGGCGGGCCTTGGCTTCATCTTTGCTTGGGAGACTTCGGGTGGCCCCGCCAGGCTGCGCCCGTGGGCCAAATTGCACCTTTCCCCATCCTGGTGCACTTGCTCTTTTGTTGATTTGGCCGCCGGACAGGATCGTGCAAAAAATTGCCCGACTTGCCTAACCAGAGATAGAGTCGCCTTCCTCGTCGCGCTCGCGGGGTCTCCGGCGCGGCTTTGAGCCGGGGCTCGAAGACTTCTTGGGCGCGGTGGCCCCCGTATTTGAGGCAGGCTAGAAGGGCCCCCATTGCGGTTTTCCGCCGCTGAGAACAACTTGCGCGCTGGGGCTGCCGATCGGTTTGGGGCGCCCGCTTGCGGCTTCTGGGCGCGCGGAGACGTTTCGAGGTGTTGCTGTTTCAGGCATTGATGGAGGATGAGCGCGCGGAGGCAGATGGTCTCTCAGCGGGCGTTGCTGCGCTAGCTCCGACGTCTGCGATGGTCGCGCATCTTTGTGTTGAAGTTTCCTGGGCCTCGGCCAGCGCGCGCCATTGGGAGGGGGGCGTTCGCCCTCATGTATCTGACAGTTTCAGTCGGCGGGGACAGCTTTACCATGTAGATTATTCACGATGTGTCGGTTTACTTCGAAAGGCAGAATGACGAATCCTGGCCATGGGTTGCGGGGGTAATCCTGCGCGTGGGACTTCACCAGGTACGATGGCAAGCATGGTAAGCAACAAATCATTGTGCTTTATTGAATCGCTTCGCTCATTCCGCCGGCCCGTGATATGGCATCGCTGGTTTTTGTCTGCGCGTTCGTTGCCCATGTTGCGCTCTTGGGGGCGGGTGTCGTTCGGGCGCGTTGCGTGGGGAGTTTTGATGGTGAAGCAGTTCCCTGGGGGTCGTCTCTCGATGGGGCGAAATAGAGTCGTCGTCAAGATGCTTCTTTGGGGGGCCTCTTGGGGTCTGTTGAGAGGCCGTTCGGGGGCGCCTGGGAGACATGTTTGAAGCCTTCTGGGGCTTCTTTTGGGCCTCCTGGGAGTCTCCTGGGGCCTCTTGGCGACATCTTGGGGCCTCTTGGAGGCCTCTTGGGGCCTCTTTGGGACCTCCTGGGCGCCTTCTGGGACGGAGGGCTCCATTTTTGAGTTCTCGGTATCCCTCCTGAGTCCCTCTTGGGCCCGTCTTGGGGCCTCTTGGTCCGTCTTGGGCGGCACTTGGGCCGTCTTGAGGGCTCTCTTGGGTCGTTTCGGCGCCGTCTTGGGAGCTTCGTGGGCCGTCTTGGAGCGGTCTTGGGGGCCTCTTGGGCCGTCTTGGAGCGTCCGGAAGCCGAAAAAGCCAGAACACAAAAAACATCGAAAAAAAACCAATGAAAATCAACGATTTTGGCCTCTTGGGGCTCTCTTCGGAGGCCTCTTGGAAGGCTCTTGGGGCGTCTTGGAGGCCTCTTGGGCTGTCTTGGGGGCCTTTTGGGCCGTCTTGGGGTCATCTTCGGCGTCTTCGAGCGCTCTTTGTGCGTCTCGGGGGCCTCTTGGGCAGTCTTGGGGGCCTCTTGAGGCACTCTGAGCGCGCTCTGGGGAGCCTGAGAGGCCGCGCCCAGAAGGAAAACCATCTCTGAGTAGACTTGGTCGGGCGGCGGTCGGGCGGCGGTCGGGCGGCGACCGGGCGGCGACCGGGCGTTGGTCGGGGTGCTTTTCGCCGGGGGGCCCCCAGGGGCCGCCCCGCGCGCGCGAACTAGAAATACTGTTAATACTGTTAACCAGTTACCGGAGATCTTAGCACGCCCTGGCCCGTTGGGCCGGCGAATTCTTCTTGGGGCCACATGCAGAGTCAGCAATGGGGGCGCGGGCAGAGCGTAGAATTGTTCTATCGCGGCTGAAGCGTTGACGGCCCGAGCTGAGGGCGCTGGGACAATTGGCGCTGCAGGCGCGCCGACGCACGCGCTTGTTAGTTTACCGTTCTCTAGCGTGGATATGGAGATATGATCCAGGCTGCCCGATGAAGCTCAGCAGCCGCCGCGCACGCCCAACGGGGGGCGTTCCAGATTTCCGATAGATTGGACACCCGTCGTGAAGGTGAAAGAGCAGGCGCGGGACTTGGAGTCGCTGGAGCATGCGGCCATGGAATTTTGCGCGAGATGCGACGGGCGCGACGATGTAGGGCCCGCTCATAATGGATATGTTGGGCGAGTGCCCGCGCGTGCCAAGTGGAGCTTTGCAACATCGACGCCTGTGCTGGCGCGTTTTCTGATCGTGGGCGTCATTTCTGCGCGTGGCTAACTGCGACAAGATGGGCGAATTGCGCGATGGGGGCGAGCGCGTGAGTCAGGAATCTCGCAATCGTGGCTGCCGAGCTGGAAGATTTGACGTGTCCGACTACAGTTTTTCTTGCGCTGGTCACGCAGCGAAGGCAGACGACGCGATGTAGATGGCGGCGACGGGGGATGACCGGGCGATGGTGGGTCATGTCAAGGGTGGCCAGAGATGAATTATTCCACGCAGGATAACAAGGGTGCCCACGAGTTGCTGGGCCCAGCGCAGAGGCTGGCCAAGCCTTTGGTTTGTGCGTCATATCTCTTGAGGGAATTCCAGGAGACCCACGGGCTGACGATGCGTCAAGATGCTTAGGTTGCGAATTGTCCTGTTCGAGGGTCTGGGGCGATCGTGGGCATGGAGTTCATGGGGGCGGCGTTTAGAGTTTTTGAGCAGGAAGCAGATCAGTATCAGCATCGGACGCAGGTAGAAGTACCATGGCAAAGATGGAACGAGGGTGCGTTTGGGAAGGGGGCTGGGCCAGCGCATCGGGCATCTCGCGCGCAGGCATCGAAGGTTGTTGCCGCCCCCCGCGCGCGCAGTTCGTAGCCGACCCCATGAACTTGCAGATCGTGAGGTTGAGGAATGGCAGGATGTGTGGTGTTGGAGGTGAGTTTGTCACAGGATCACGTGGGGTAGGATGAACTTCCAAGACAACCTCGCGTTGACTATTAGGCTGGAGCTTCTCGTTTGATCCCGCTTGGCCGCGCCCGCGTGGCAACTTGCGCCTTTCCCAATCCTGGTATGCTTGCTTTTCTTGCGACTTATGCGCAGCATGCGAAGTTCGGTTGATTTGGCCGTCGGACAAGACTGAATGCAGTTGCCCGCTTTGCCAGACCAGATTTAAGCGCCCGCTTCGTCGCGCACTCGCAGGGTCTCCGGCGCGGTTTTGGGCCAGGGCTCGTAGACTTCTTTCTGGGGCGCGGTTGAATGGGCATGGGGGCCCGCGCATCTGAGGCAATCGGAAAGGGCATTCATGCCGTTTTCCAGCTTCTGAGCATTACTTGCAAGCTGGAGCTGCCGATCGTTTTTGGGGCGATATCTCGCTTCCTTTCGCGCGTGGAAATTTGTCTAGGCGGCGCTGCTTCAGGCCCTGATGATGAAGGAAGCTAGTTTGATGAACTTCCCAATGAGACGGTTCTCGGTGTTAGAATGTGCACGCGCACTACCTCGAGGCATTCGCGCTTTTGGGCTTTGGAGACGGTCTGCGGTCGCGCGGCAAGGTTTTTCCAACGTGTGCCCACGATGCGGCTCCCCGGCCATCCTCGCATACAGGGCGCTCTAGCGTCAACGTGATGTGCCCCGGTGTGGGCCTCGGGGCCCTCGCGGATGATTCGACGCGGCGCATGGCAGGGCCTCGTGGAGCCACTGCGTAGGATCTCGCTGTTCAAGGCGTGCGATATTTTTGCCGAGGATACTTATGGGCTCGGGGCTCTCGTTGCAGGTCATGGCGTCGGCGGAAGGCTCGCGGATAGGATCCTCGTTCAGGTCAGAAGGCGGGTGTGGAACCATGGGCGCGAGCCAAGTGTGATGATGAAGGTCAGACAGCCCAACCACAGCCAGACTTAATCAACCTGAAGAGAGGCGACCCATATTCAAGATGATGCGACGAGGGGCCAATCATCCGTTCTTCGGCGCGCGGGTTCGATGCTGTCCGCCTCTATTGCAGGCGTCGATGACAGGGGGGGGATGCGCTGCGACAGACGGCAGTTATGCTCGGGGGCCGCGCGTGCACGGCCCCGCTGTTAACGCTGGCCCCTGCTACTCAGGCTGGCGCCAAGCGCGACGCCGCGTGCTGCGCCACCTTGGAACCCTTTCAGGGCCGGCGCTTCGCGCGCGCGCGGCGCCGGGGCGCAAGTCTCGGGGAGGCCCGGGGCCCAGGGCCAGGCTAGTGGGGGGGTGAGTATCGGGGGGAGCTGGGCGGCGGCAAGGGAACCTATTCTTGTGCGCATTCTTCTGCTGACAAGGGCTGGCGAGGGAATGCGCTCCAGCGTGGTTCTCGCCAGCGATCCAGGCGCCCTTCTGATGCGCATCGTCGTCCTCCGCCAGCGGTCGCGGAGCTTGCCCGCCGCCTCATTGAGCGGTGGCGGGCCGCCGAGAACTCGATTCATCACCAGGCGGCGCGCGTGGGGGGAGAGACCGCGTGGGCTGGGGTACTTCGGAAGCGAATTAGAGGCATTGCCCGTTCGACGCCCCAGGTCTGCTGGGGCGCTCCGCGCTTTGCGGTCAGGTGCCACGCGGTCGCGCGACAAACTTTGCCGCGCTGGCTGCTGCATTTCCGCCGCGCGTAGCTGGTATTGGGCGATAAGGCCATGGCTGGGCATGAGTTCGGCGAGCGTTGCAGTGAGAAGTCCCCCCCTTCTATTGAAGATGACCTATCGGTCCTACTACTGCGGCGAGTCTGAGTCTGATCAGAGTTCCTGGTGGTCGGTAGTGTTTCCAGACGATTCCTGGGATGGCCCCTAGCTGGCCAAATTTGCGACGATGTGGATGGGCAGTGGTACGCATCGGGGGCTATGGAATGCCAGGTCGTGCTGCGCACCGGACTTTTGCCAGGGCCAATCCAGATTTTTGGTGGGGTCGAGCGTCGCGCGGCCCGGCAGGCGGCGCGTCTGGTTAATCGTGCTTATCGTGGATGCCCCGAACGAGAGAGTTGGTCTCGTCAGCTGGCCGGCGCGCAGGCAACGTGCGCCGAAAAGAATTTGGCGAGCGATCCTAACGCGGTGCGCCGCACAAGTTTTATCTGGTGCCAGTCGCGCAAGAACGCCGAGCAGTATCTTGAAACGGATGGAGGGTCCGCGGGAGTTCGTCTTGGGGAACACGTGGCTGGACAATATCGCCAAGGAAAGTGCCGAGATCCATGCGCTGTTTGCGGTGGTCGCCAAAATGTTGGAGACTCTGGTTCTGGACAGTAAGATGCAGGCGCGATTTGTCTCGTGGGCGGCGGCCGCGATGGCTGTCAAAGGGACCTCTCAGCAATAGTCGGGTGAACCCAAATGGGGGTCCAGCGACAAGGGGGTGGTGTAATAGATCAGGTGTGATAGCTTTGTGGCGTTGTAATAGGTTTGGGGCGTGTGATACATTCCTCAGCGCAGATGTATTGCTGGTTTTCTCATGCAAAACATTGGTGGCATCACAACGCAATGCGATTCTTAGGGGCAATACGTTTGCAATACAATTGCCCCAAATCTAGTGCACCACCCCCTTTCAGCTGGACCCCTTTTTGGGTCGACCGAAATGCGCCCGAAAAGTTCCACCACAATTATGATTGCCAGCCGCCTATGTTTGGCCTGCGCGTGCATCGGCTGGTGGTTCGGGGTCCTGGTCGTTTTCATTGCAAGCGTTAGGTCGGGATTGTCCCTGCTCAGGAGGAAAATTTCAAAAATAGTCCAACATATGCCGGGGGCGTGTTTTTTTGTTTTGACCCTTTTCGCGTATGTTGGACTATTTTTATGTTTTCTTCCAAAATCCGCTTGTAGGGGGGCATGCCCGACCTAATGCAAGCGGCGCTTGGCCAGTGTTCGAACCTCACCCAGTCTTCAGCAGTTGCTGGCGGGTGCCAGAAACCATAGTGTGCGCAGGCCCGCCCTTCAGGGGGCCCAGCCTTACATATTGGAGGGTGTGGCTGTGGCTTCAGGTTTTGCTTTCGTTGTTGCTGGTTCTGCTTCTCCAACGGAGCCCGAAGACCCGGGGTGTCGGCGCCCGCCGTTGATGATGAATTCGTCGAGCGCATTGTGATATGTGTCCACGGGGCCATGTTGTGTACGCAGCGTTGTTCCTTTACGATTTTTTCGGGGCGTGGGGGGCACAGCAAGCTGATGAGGGAAGCTTGCCAAGGCGCATCCGCGATCCCCAAGACCCGGAACGGCAGGGAACGTCCATTGCTGCTGCTAATGCGGGTAAGCATCCCAAATATTGTAATTGTTTCTGGAATTGCTGGTATCATGTTTGATCTATGAAGTTCGTGGTCGCACTTTCCGTTTGGGCGCGCAGGCTTGGTTGGAGCCAGCCGGGTGCGTGGTGAGCGCGGTCTGATGCAAGCCCGTGATCTCGACAGCGATTGCACGACGGCCGATCGCTCAGGGAAAAACAGCTACATACACTTAACAACTCGGAGGTCCGCTCAGATTTCTCGAATCGGTGCCTCCCTCCCTGGCGCGCCAGGGGCGGCGCCGGAGGCGCCGCCAGGGGGCCCCAGCGCCGATCCTAGAAATCTTCGCGGACCTCCGAGTTTTTCTGTTTATGACATTGTTTGTTCCCTGAGCGGTAGGCCGACGTCGTGCAGTCGCCGTCGCGATCACGGGCCTGTAGTGGGCCCCGCTCACCACGCACCCGGCTGGCTCCGACCAGGCCTGCGAGCCCTAGCGGGAAGTGCGAACGCGAATTCCGTGAATCGAGCAGGCTGCCGCTGGTCCTGCCCCTGCTCCCCGTGGCTGCTGCGGCCGCCGTCCCCGCTGCGTCCTCCTTCGTGCTGCCTCGCCGGTCGAACTGGCTGGCGTTCGGGTGCAACATCGACGAGCAGCTCTTCCGGCGCAGCGCCGACGCCCTCGTGTCGAAGGCGGAGCGGGCCCGGGCCGGCCTGGCCAACTCGGCCGCCCCTCGCGCGGGTTTCGCGCTCGCTGCCTGCCCCCCTCCTGCGACGAGGGAGGCGTGGAGGGCAGGGGGCGACGAGGGCAGAGAGGAAGGGCGCAGCCGGAGGAGGGAGGAGGCGGGATGGAGGGAGAGGGAAATTGGGCGGGTGATGACGGGGGATGAGGTAGGAAGGAAGGACTGGAGGAGGGATTGGGGTCGAAGGGGGATGACGAAGGAGGGGGAGGGGGAGGTGGTTGAGGGGGATGAGGAAGGAACAACTAATTTTCGGAAGGAGGAGGGACGAGGTAGGAAAGTCTGGCGGAGCGTGGGGAGAGGAGGTAGACGAGGATGGCAAGGAAGCCAACGCTGGGAGGAGGGAGGGGACAGTGCCCTCGGAGTGAGTGGGCTGTCCCTGGACCGCTTCTGTCCTCGTGGAAGTGGAGGCGGAGGAGGAGGCGGAGGAGGAGGCGGAGGAGGATGAGGATGAGGAGGAGGCGGTGGAGGAGGAGGAGGAGCACAAGGATAAGGATGAAGAGGAGGAGGATGAGGAGGAGGAGGATGAGACTGTAATTTGAGAGTCTGGAGGAGGATGCGCAGCAGCTACAACAGTTGGGTGAGGTGGATGAGGAGGAAGCGGAGAAAGAGGTGGCAGGATGAAAGATGAGCTCAAGGAAGGAAGGGGGAGGACGAGCAGTAGGAGGGGGAGGAGGAGGAGGAGGAGGAGGAGAGGAGGAGGAGGAGGAGGAGGAGGAGAGGAGGGAGGAGGGGGAGATGAGGAGGAGGCGGAGGAGGAGGAGGAGGAGGAGGAGGAGGAGGAGGAGGGCAAGAAGGGGGCAGGGAGCCGGGATAATGAATTCGACGTGCGAGGGACTGGCGGGAGGGGGACGTGGTGAGGAGGAGGAGGAGAGGAGGGGAAGGGAGGAGGAGGAGGAGGGAGGAGGAGGAGGAGGAGGAGGAGGAGGAGGAGGAGGAGGAGGAGGAGGGGAGGAGGAGAAGAGGAGGAGGAGGGGAGCAGGAGGAGGAGGAGGAGGAGGAGAAGCAGGAGGAGGAGGAGGAGGAGGAGGAGGAGGGAGGAGGAGGAGGTGGAGAACGAGGAGGAGGAGGAGGAGGAGGAGGAGAGGAGGAGGAGGAGGAGGAGGAGGAGGAGAAGAAGGAGCAGGAGGGCGGATGAGGAGTAGGTGGATAACGAGGAGGAGGAGGAGGAGGGCGGAGGAGGAAGAGGAGGATGAGGAGGAGGAAGAGGAGGAAGAGGAGGAGGAGGAGGAGGAGGAGGAGGAGGAGGAGGAGGAGGAGGGCGGAGGGCGGGACAAGGAGCGGGAAATTCAGAGGGCGATGTGGAGGCGGCCGCCGACCCCTGAAGAGGGCCTCCGCGATGCGGGCTACACGACCGTCGGCGTGGACGACTGCTGGGCGGAGCTCGGCAGGAACGCCTCCGGGCACCTGGTGCCGAACCGGACGATGTTCCCCTCGGGGATGGAGGCCCTGGCAGACTACCTGCACGCCCGGGGGCTCCTCGGAGGAGGAGAAGGCACCGACACCTCTACCGCGGCCTCTTCTTTGCTTTTTTAGGGGGGAGGAGGAGGAGGAGGAGGAGGAGGAGGAGGAAAAGGAGGAGGAGGATGAGGAGGAGGAGGAGGAGGAAGAGGAGGAGGAGGCGGAGGCGGAGGCGGAGGCGGAGGCGAGGGAGGCGGGCGGAGGCGGAGGCGGAGGCGGAGGCGGAGGCGGAGGCGGAGGCGGAGGCGGAGGCGGAGCGGAGGGGGAGAAGGAGGAGGAGGAGGAGGAGGAGAAGGAGGAGGAGGAGAGCCTCCTGGGAGGCCCCCAACGCCACGGCCGAACGCGCCTCGAAGCGTGGGCAGAGCGCGCTCCCCGGGAGAGGTCTGGGGAGCACCGGCGTCTGCATCTTCTAGTCCTCCCAGATGGTCCTCCTCCTCCTCCTCTTCCTCCTCCTCCCCCCCTCCCCTCCTCTCCTCCTCCTTCCTCCTCCTCCTCCTCCTGCTCCTCCTCCCCTCCTCCTCTCCTGCTTCTCTCCTCCTCCTCCTGCTTCTCCCCTCCTCCTCCTCCTCCTCCTCCTCCTCCTCCCCTCCTCCTCCTCCTCCTCCCCCCCCCCCTCTATCGCCCCCCCACGAAGGGGAAGAGTCGAGTAGGCCTCCCAGATGGGGTCAGAGTAGATGGGGTCCGAGTACCCGCCGCATCGCCGATGCATCGCCGATGCGGCTCGATGCGGAGCCCGATTTGCTTTACGCCGACGTCACCGATGCACCGCCGACGTCGCCGATGCATCGCTGGTGCATCGCCGATGCATCGCCGATGCATCGTCAATGCATCGCCGATGTATCGGCGATGCGGCGCGATCCTCCGACCCCATCTCATCTACTCCGATCCCGTCCAGGAGGCCTCTACATCTTTTGCTTCCCCCAGGCTCAAGCTGCGCATCTACAGCAGCGCAGGTCTCAAGACCTGCCAGGGCAACATGTCGGGCTCGCTGGGCTACGAGTGGCTAGACGCCCAGCTCTTCGCCTCCTGGGGCGTGGACGCGCTGAAGTACGACGATTGCTACCAGGGGCAGTTCGAGCAGGTGCTGCAGGACTCGGCCCGCCGCTTCCCGTTCCTCTCGCCGCCGATCCTGCGGTACCCGGTGATGGCGCAGGCGCTTAACAGGACGGGGCGCAGCATATCCTACCTGTGCAACTTCCCCTGGGATTTCTGGAGGCAGGAGCAGGACCTCGGCATCACCCGAACAAAATTACGCGGGTGTTGCCAGAGGTGCCCCTGGCCCAAGGTGCCCCCAGCTTCTCGCTCTGTCTTGGAGCCCCTGGGGCCCTCAGGGCCTCGCGAGGGGTGCTCTGGAGGCCATCCGGACCACTCCGAGAATCCTGGGGGTACCTTTGGCCAGGGGCACTTCCAGCAACACACCGAACCACGCTAGGTGTGCGTCGGCCCCGCAGGGGCGACGCCCGCGCTCAGGACTCTTATGGCGCCCCCCCTGCTCAAGCCTTCCAGCGGCAGCGTTTGACTGGCGCCTTGCGGCCATACCGCCTGGCCAACGTCGTGTTTTGGCCAGCATGTGAGCAGCACGTGCTGAGCTCGGAAGTGTCCCTCCGAGGGGGTCGCGGAGTGCTAGTATCTGGTATGCCCTCCGGCGCCCCAGGACCAGGCGCTCGGCGGCCAGTGGGTGGCCGAGACGTGCAACTCGTGGCGCACGGGGCCCGACTCGCAGCCTGGCTTCGACTACTCGATGGGCGTCCTCGACGGGGCGGAGAAGTGGGCGGACGCGGTGCCCTCGGGCCCAGGCGTCCAGCCAACGCTCGGGGGCGGCGAAGAGGGGGGTTGATGACTGGGGGGGGGATATCATGGCGTGGGCCATGATATTTCCCCAGATTTCATGGCGCCTCTTCTTATTGTATTACTTCCCTAGCTGGCCCCCAACCTGGGCCGCGCACATGCCGCCGGTCATGATTTGCACCCCCCCCTCTTGGACACCCCCCTCTTGGCCGCTCCTGAAACGCCGTCCCCTCCCCCACTCATCCTCCTTCGCCGCCTCCTCGGCTGCCTCCGCCGCCGCCGCCTCGGCCACCCCTCCTCCACTGCCGCAGCCGCCGCAGCCGCCTTCTTCTCCTCCTCCTCCTCCTCCTCCTCCTCCTCCTCCTCCTCCTCCTCCTCCTCCTCCTCCTCCCCCTCCCTCATCGGCGGCGAGCCCTGGGGGCCAGCAAGAGGGGACAGGCCTCCTCAGAGGGCGCTAGGGCTTCTGCGGGCTTTAGGTTATCATGTGCTCAGTTCGCACGCTTCTGCCTCGAACATGCCCGGCTTCTGCTCCAGCCATGCTTTGCATCTGCCTTGATATTTGCTGATCTGTCTTTTCTAATCCGCGGCCCCTCGAGGCCCCGACCGCTTCTCGGGGGCCAGTGTTTCGCCCTGGATCCATTTCGGAGTGGCCCAGCAGCGGGCCATGGAGGCCGAAATGCCATTGAGGAAAAAGGTCCAGCCTGAATAAACATACAGCAGGTTCGCGTCGTGCCGACCGGCGGCGACTCCAGCGCGTGCGTATACGGTTGAACGGCGCCCGTGGCCCAGAATCGGCCCGTCGTTGAACCATCCCGCGTTCACGGAACGGCCGATCGTTCAAGTTTGACCGATCCCTGCGGAGTCAGGAACCAACGCCAGGGTCGATATGACGCGAACCTGCCTTATCCTAGCAGATTTGGGCGTGTCTCAGCTTGTGTGCCAGCGATGCGCCCACGAGCCCCGGCAGGCGGCTGGAACCACCTGGACGCCCTGCAGATCGGGAACGGCCGCGCGCCAGGCGCGGGCGGGGGCGGCGCGGCGATGTCGGAGCCGCAGGAGCGGGCGCTCTTCTCCCTCTTCGCGCTGGCGAAGACGCCGCTGATGATCGGGGCCGACGTCACCGCCCTCTCGGGCGGCAGCCTGGCCACGTACCTCAACCGGGAGGTCATCGCGGTCAGCCAGGACGGAGTGCCGGGGGGAGGGCCCCCTTGAGGGGCAGGGATACTCCGAGTTTCTGAAGGAGCGTCGGGGGGGCGTCATCCCCCCCCCCCCGACAGCCCCACATCGACCCCCGTCGGGGGCAGCCACCGCGCGCCGAAGGCGCTCCGACCCCCGTCGCGGCGCGACGACGATGCGAGGTGGACCCCCGTCGTGGGGGTACCCCCCCACGCTTCTTCAGAAACCCAGAGTAGGCTCAAGTCGGGCGTGCCCCTCTACAGGGGGGAGATTCAAAAATAGTCAAACAAATAGTATGGGGACTATTCTCTGAGTATTTTTGGGCCATTTTGGAATATGTGTTGAGTGTTGTTTTATGTTTCGTCGAAAATCCCCCTGTAGGGGGACAGACCCACCCGACTTAAGAGTACAGTCGGGGCGCCGAAGAAGGAACCCTTCTCGTCGGGGAGGGGCTCGGTGTTCCTGATTTGTTCCACACCTTGCCTAAGGCTTCCTTGACATGTTCGACGGGACATCGAAGCTTAGCTTATAGAGAAAAGGCGCCTCGTTCCTTATTTTAGGGCTCCTTAGGTCAACGCCTTGACTGTAGGCCCAGGGGGGTGGTGCATCGACCCCCCGTTCGCCCACTCATCGCCGATGGCCCACCACCGCCCAGGAGCGCGCGGCTCCGCTCTGGGCGGCGTGCCGCCAGTGCCTCGGCGACGTGTCGCCGATGCCTCGTCGATGATCCCCCCTCCGGGGGAGGGCCCCTCGGGCCCAGTGCCGGAGGCTGGGGTGGCCCTGCTCCTCCCCTCGGCGGTTCAAAGTCGGAGGTGGATAGTACCGCCGATGCCTCGGCGATGTATCGCCGATGCCTTGTCGATGCTTCCCCCCCTCCGGGGAAGGGCCCCTCGGGCCCAGTGCCGGAGGCTGGGGTGGCCCTGCTCCTCCCCGCGGCGGCTCAAAGGTGGGGCCCCGAGGGAGGGGGCCCGGAGGTCAGTCGGCCACGCCCGGAGGGGGGTGAGTCGGGGGTGGGCAGACCTCCTACCTTGACACGTCGATTGGCGAGTTGGCCGTGTTCGGTTCGCGAGAGGGCGTCGCAGCCGTCGTTTTTGCGGGTCCAGGTCCGTCGGTTTCGGTCCCAGGCCCTTTTCATTAAGGGGAGGTTTACTAAAGGGAGGTTTGTCCACCGCCGAGGGTGGGGGGAGGGGGGGCTTCTTAGGAGCACCCCTGCTCCTTCGAAGGCGCGGGGCTCCTGTTTCGAAACCAGGCCGGCGCCTTTCAAAAAGCAGCCTCCTTCCAAGAAGCCTCCCCCCCTCCCCCGACCCCCCCTCTGCGCGGCGCCAGGGATGGGGCCCCGAGGGCAGGAGGGGGATCCCTGGAGGGCCCCATCGTTCAAGGCCCCGGCTTTGAGCCGCCGATCCCCGCGCTGCTCGCACCTCCCCGGGCGCGCGAGCGCGGCGAAGGGAGGGAGGAGGCAGGAGGGGGGGAGGAGGAGGAGGAGGAGGAGGGGAGGAGGAGGGAGGAGGAGGAGGGGTGGAGGAGGAGGAGGAGGAGGGAGAGGAGGAGGAGGAGGAGGAGGAAGGAGGAGGAGGGAGGAGGAGGAAGGAGGAGGAGGAGGAGGAGGGAGGAGGGGAGGAGGAGGAGGAGGGTTCGAGGGGGGGGGAGGGCGGAGGGGAGGGGGGAGGAGGGATCGGGCGCCCATGGAGAGGGGAACAGAGGGAGAGAGAGCCCAGTCCAGAGGGCGCCCGTCCGAGGGATCTCCGTCGGCCCCCGAGGAGAGCACCGTCCCCTCGCCAGGGGGGGCTTGTGGAAGCAGGGGGGGACAGGGAAGGGGGAAGGGAGGGAGAGGGGAGAGGGACAGGGAAAGGGATAGGGAAGGGAGGGAGGGGATAGGGGGAGGGGGGAATGGGGATAGGGGGGCAGCAGAGGGGGAGGGGGGAGAGGGGGGCCGATGGGGGGGGGGGAAGGGGGGAGGGGGGGGGGAGGGCGAAGGCTCGAGCAAGTATAGAGGCGGCATGAGGGCAACGCGGTGGAGGTCCCCGCCAGCGCTTCTCGGGCCGGCGCTGAGCCCCACTGATGTGGCGCCACACGCGCCTCCCACGGCGCGCTCCACGCTCCAGGAGTCCGGCGTTGCTGGAGGCACCCCTGGCCCAAGGTACACCCCCGGATTCTCGTGGGGGCTCGGACGGCCTGCGGGGCACCCCTCACGACGCCCAGAGTCAGGCAGTGGCGAAGCGTCCTGGCTCGCCTGCAGCCATACCAAGCAATGTTCTAATAACCTCTTGTGGTTCCCACGAGCTGTTCTCAGAACATTTCTGGTGGAGACTGTCTTGGTTGAACACATCGGGCTAATGTTCTAAGAACATTGTTTATGTTATTACAACATGTTGGGTTATAAGAACATTTCGTGGTAGGACTATAGGAATGCCGGGTCGGTCGGTCCCTGCTCAGCAGACAGCCCCACGGGCTCCAGAATGGAACGAAAAGCTGGGGGCACCTCGGGCCAGAGGGACTTCTAGCAACACCCGAAGGAGGGGGGTCCATCGCCGACTCAAGAAATCCGCGCGGACTTCCCAGAGATGTTTATGTGAGACGGAGGAATCGATGACCCTCAGGACGTGTGTGAGCCAACGCGTGCGCGTACTCCTCGCGGTTCCGCCGAGAAAGCGCAGCCTGTGTCGGCCCTCGTTGCGCCGCCTACTTCGTATTGAAGGGCCCCAGTGGACAAACACTGACAAACACTCGTCGGTGCTGACACACGTTCTGAGGGTCATCGAAGGAAGCAATGGAGGCCCCTCCCCCTCGCCTTCCCCTCCCCGCCTTCTTTACCCTCCCCCACGGGGGCCTCCCAAACCCGCCTAGGACCAATTGCTGCCACTTACCCCTGAGCATACTGAGGCCCCCTCCTCCCTCCTATCCCCGAAGAGGAGAAGAAGGAATCAGGAGGAGGTGGAGGAGGGGAAGGATGAGCAGGATGCAGAGGCGGAGTTTGATGATGACGACGATGATGAAGGTGATGGTGTTGATGCGGGTGATTGTGATGAGGGATGAGGCTGAGGATGAGGATGAGGATGAGGATGATGCTGGTGTTGAGGAGGAGGAGCATGAGGATGAGG